TGCTGAAAGCAGGGTCAGCTCCAGCAGGTTGCCCAGGACCATGTCCAGTTGGGTTTAGAGCGTCTCCACGAAGGGAGACTCCACAATCTGCTTGGGAACCCTACTCCAGTGTTTAACTTACTGTTACCGCCCTAACAGTAAAAAACTTTTTCTTTCTGTATAAGTGGAATTTCCTGTATTTCAGTTTGCGCTCATTGCCTCTTGCTCTGTCATTGGATACCCCTGAGAAAAGCCTGGCTCCATCCTCTTCACTCCCTCCCATGAGATATTCATACACATTAATGAGATTTTCCCTGAGCCTCCTCTTCTGCAGGCTAATGGGCATAGTGTAGTTACTGGCATAAAAGAGAAGTGCTTGTAAAGTCTCATCCTTCATCACGCAGGGAAGGAGTTAAGTCCTTGGAGAAAGTCCTCCCTTCCTGTCATAGGAAAATAAGTTTCCAGCTGGGCTCACCTAGTCAGGAATTTAAAGAGGTGAAGGCTGCATCTTTGGTTGGTTGAAAGAAAACTGAGCTGGTTTTAAGGCTCTTTAAACAATTACTTATTTCTGAGAAAGCCTCCATACAGAAGTTTGATAATAGGCCTGCATGCTAGAGGGTGACTTGCTCCTTCAGCTGAAAGCAGCAGAAGACTTACAGACCTGATTCAAAGGCAGAGTTTAAGCCTGGGAAGGACAGCTGGACTTTGCCTGTGTTTCTCTGGTAAATAATCTAACTTCAGGTTTTTCCTTATAATTTTCTTCTTTAATATAAGAACTTTGAATTAAGAACCTATTCAGCTATGTTAGTCAGACTCAGACTAAGTATGACTGTAATACTAGATGGAAAACAGTTTTGGTGTGCCCCCCATTTTAGTGTGTCTTTTTACATTTGGGGGTATTTGATCCCTTTTGAGCTTTGGGGTGTTGCTTGTCAGGGTGTTGTTCTTATTAGCAGTGCAAAGCCATAATACAATTTGAACACTTCAACTTGCTTGAATATTAGAGGGCATAGGACTTGTTTTCTTGTGCTCTTAGAGGTCAACTCAGCTGTAGGTGGTGAACTACAATGCTGCCTATGCTGCAGCTGCTTTCTGAAAGCGTCAGCCTTAGTGGGGCTATTACGTAAAACACCTGCATAAGCAAACAAGAAGGCAACTGGATACTTCAGCCTGGAAAAACTCATGGTGCCTCAGTGCTTATATGAGAGTCAACAACAGGAAGAAAATCCACCTCCTGGCATTAGCAAACAGCTACTCAGAGTCAAGAAATACTCTCTTCGGCAGTTTTCTGAATTTCTAAAGTACCATGAAAATATGGTAGCATAAATGACTCTCATAATACCATGAAAATGGTCTCTCGGGCAAAGCTCCTGTTTTGGGGTAGTCCGATCAGCTGTGTTCGGTGGTGCTCACTGGTTGGAAGATCACCTCGTAATTTCACTTTTAAAAAAACCCTGACAATTGTTTGAGGAAAAGAAGGTCTTTCTGCCAAGATCCTGGACTGATGTTTTGCTAAGCAAATATTATTTGTTTCAGCTGCACTGGAAGTACTACTCGTGCTGGCCTTTTCAAACCCAGTTATTTTAAGCATGCCTCTTCAATTCTGGAGAAATGTTACTGTAAAGGAAGTCTTATGTTTTTCTTTCCAGAAATCCACACAGGTTATACTCAAATACAGTTTGTGGTGCAAGGTACTGAAGTACGGTAGAGTAAAATGCAATTCCTATAACTGTGCTGCTTTTCAGGTAAAGTTCAGGAATAATACCAAGGGAAGCAAATATCTGTGACCCAAAAAGCCTAACAGGACAGACGTGTAGACTGGGGATTAGGCAGCACAGTGCCTGCAGTATCAAATTCCATTTATTGCACCGCTTGTTCTAAGCTGCTCCCATTTCTCAGACTGGCTCTGGAGAGGCACTGCTGAGAACGGCACCTACGCTGCCTCCAAGTGCCTCCTCTGAGGGGGCTCTTTGAGGAGGCAGGTACTTCTGTTCCTGCGGCTTGGCTTTTCAGTTAGCCGTAGTGACTGTGATGAAAGACTGAACATATGATGGGGCCTAATGGGCAAACATTCTAGTTTTTATTCGAACTATTAATTGCTGTGGGTAACTTTTAGTTTCCTCAGAGAACTGAGGAAAGAAAAGCTAGATGAATGTATAAATCTGCAAAAAGCCTATCTTTGGGTTACCAAGCTGCTCCCCCCCAGGCTGGGGAAGCTGTCCTGGAGAAATCTGTGTAAATTGGATGGCTCAGCGTAAGGATGTCTCTGCAGGACTGCTGGGGAGGGCATGCCACAGGCCGTGTGCTCGCTGGGCCATCTCCATGCTCTCCAGCGCCCGCTGCCTGTTTCAGAGATGGGCAGTTGTCGTGCATCTAGGTTAGAGATCTTCTAGCTTGCATAGGTGGCTGAATTGTTGGGCATAATATTTGGCCAAGGTGGGAAAGGTAATGAGTCACATCTATTGATAGCTTTTTGCAGCAGGATGTTTGATTAAAGCAAACAGTAGCCTTAGGCTCACAAAATGAATGGCATAATTAGATGCTATCTGTTTTCCGTTACTATGTGCTCTGAACAAAAAAATGCATGTAAGATTAATCTGCATATTTAAATGAGATGGTATTTCAATACAGTCTTAATGCTGATGACTGTCACTGAAATGTACTCTAATATCATTATTAGTAGTGTCTTAGAAGAAAAGACTAAAATTATGCTGAACAATCTGTCCTCATAGCGGAGGTAAAATGAAGTTTAATGTTGCAGAGTGTCTGTGAACTAACCTACTTAGCGTCAAGGTGGTTGATACAAAACACAGGTGGCAGGAGGGGACAGAGCTGCAGATGCCCAGAACCAGACCTCAGCCTGGTCTGTGCACAGCATCACGCTGCCTGCGGAGTGGGGAAAAGGGGCTGCATTCTTCTTGGTGTATCGGCCTGTTGTGCCTCCGTCAGGATTGCTGAGCAAGTGTT